TGCCCCCAAAGTAGCCACTTTTGGGAGCAAAAGTGGCAACTACAGCAAGTCTGGGCATTAAAAGTTCCAAAGTGACAAGACCAAAAGTGACAACTCCAGAAGCTCCAGGGACGCTAAATTGGAAGCATGATGCGCGTGGTTACTATGGGCTCTCAAAGTAACCACGCGCACCAAAGTAGCTACTTTCAGCACAAATAGTGGCAACTCCAGAGAAGCGGCAATCCTTCCATCATGCGCGTAGACACTTTCAAGGCTCAACGTGGACACTTTCAAAGGCAAAAGTGGACACTTTGGTGACATGTCATCCACTATAAATAGATTTTAGGAATTAGGGTACGGGACTTTTGACACTTTACACAATTTTCTTTGCCAAATTGGGATAATTTCTTACGACATTGGAGTCTTGGGTGACAGCCAAGGGTCCTCTATAGGTTTTAATTTCCAATTTCTCTTTTGATTTTTGTTGAATTTGCATTAATGATGTTTACATTCTTGCATTTCTTTCTCTCTTTTGTGAAGCCCATCCACATGGAGGGCTAAACTTCCTTCTAATTCCTAGTCAATGCACATGAATCTTGAATTCTTGGGATTAATTGCAATACAAATCTTTCTTTCCTTGAATTTATTAACCCTAATCTCTGAATGAAATGGAATTTGCATGAAGGGAACATTGCTTAATGAACCCTAATTTACCTAACGAAATTCTAATTCAAAAATGCTTAATTTTGGTTAATCCTTGAGGTTGCTTAATCTTAGGGATAGAGATTGGAGCCCATTAAGATGCTTAATTTTAATTGGGATGTTAAAGTTAGTCTTCGCTTGTTAGATTAACTTAATTTAAGGGAAAGAAAGGGGATTATTGAATCATTTGGAAGAATAATGATAGAACTCATTGCTTGACTAGGGATTACTCATTTTAATTGATTGAATTTCATTAATTTACATTTCGTTCTTGTTTAAAATCCAGAAATTGACAAACCTCCCCCCAATTTACTTGCTTTAAAATACATGTTCACACTTGTTCGATGTATGTTCTCAACCAAAAATTCCTTGGAGACGACCTAGGATAACACCCTAGTACTGCATTCATTTCTTTGCATATTTGATGAGGATTAACGACAATCTTTTACATGACAGTAGCTAAATTCGTTTCATCAGTTCTAACTTTTCTTCCGTTCGTAATTCATTCAAATATTACAAATTAACATTCTGTTTTTAACAATATCTCATTTCTTTAATTTTGAAATTTAATTTCTTGCATATTGAAATCTGTTCAATGAAATGTTTGGTGCAAATGGTTATTATCTTGTGAATTGGTGATTAAAAATAAGATCCTAGAGGATGATATTTGGGACTCAATCTGTTTTCCACATTTTATAACTTGCTACAACTACCTAGTACACTTGGCAGTAGTGAATTACACAATTTAAGTACTACGATAGAAAATGTGTATCAGATTCACAATCCCTAACTATGAAGAATTCAAGCAACCATTACAACAGAAAAAGAGAAAGAAAGAGAAGAGGAGAATGAATGCAGAAGAGTTATCTTCAACCGATCTTCAATCTGATTCCTCTAGGTTCTGTAACACCCCAAAATTTCTCTCATTTGCAATATAAATATATATATATATATATATATATATATATATATATAACTGAATTCAAACTTAATTTGGATTATATTAGTTATTCCTCCTTAATATTTACTTATGTTATGGTGTAGTTACAAACCATTCATGTTTAACCCCTTATTGAATTAAATGAAATCAACATGAAGTCTTTTTTTTTTTTTTTTATTGAACTTCCAAAGCTTCAAAAACACCCCACGAAGCCATTACAAAATTTTGTTCACGAACACTTAGTGCAACAAAGAAAACTCCAATTGTTGTTTCATCTCCATATGACATGATATTCACATGTATTCCACTCTTTCACCCTTGTTAGTGTACCAAACATCAATTCTGCAATCTTAACTCCTATTTAGATTACATGACGAACAATTGGTGTCACTGTCCTTAGAACTCCACGTTTACTTTCCACTCATAGATTTTCGAATTGGCCTCTCAAGATTACTAGGCTGCATGCAGATTTCATAACTTGGCAAAGAGTTATGGCCTCCACCTAATCCCTGCATGATTTGAAATTGTGTGGCAAATCAATTAAAGTGCACGTGTACCCCACTCACGAACCATTCTCGGTTTGTTAAGTGTTAATGCTGCAGATTACATTTATACATTAGAAGGAAAGGATATATTTCAGTTGAAATCTTAACATCATAGCACACAAACTTCGCAATAAATGCACCTATCTCTTCATACTCATGGCGTATCATTCTTCCATTTTGTTGGCTGCTATATGGCCTTCCATTTCAGCTTTGAATTGACAGTCCACTGTGCCACTCTCTCACCATTAAGACACCATGGCCTTCCTCATCAATCACGCCCCTTAAGTGGCCTTGGAAATCCAAATGAGGAGCTGTGTTGTCCATTCATAAACTGCTACAACAAATCCTTTTAAAAATTTTATCACCGAGAGAAGGAAAGCACAAGAAGGACTAAATTAGATACCCTTACACACAATCTAAATGAAATCTAGGACACTAAAAGGAAGAAAGAGATAGTCCTCGGTTGCCAAGCTTAAAAACACATTAAGTTCATAGTTGTAACTCTTTTCCCTTTTCACTTCTTCATCAATCTACATCCTTGTTCTCTTTTGCTAAGGAGTTGAAAAACTGTGAACTATATCCAAGGTAAACCAGCTACAAAATTTCATAGTTGTAACTCTTTTCCCTTTTCACTTCTTCATCAATCTACATCCTTGTTCTCTTTTGCTAAGGAGTTGAAAAACTGTGAACTATATCCAAGGTAAACCAGCTACAAAATTTCACATCATTACATTCAAATTCTACCTTCTATACTCTTCTCTCGCATATTCTCTTATGTTCCTTGCTGCATGTTTTGTATAATAGGATCGTGACCTTCCACACTTATCATTTTCTTCCCTGCTACCAAACGTCCGCTAGCAAGGTAAGGGGAAGTTCATATTAATAGAAAATTTCATGAAAACTTCACTAAGTGTAGTAAATAAAACTACCACTTTGCCGTAAAAAGAGTAAATCAAGTTATGTTAATTGTAAAAATGTGAAATGGTGCCAATTTGGAAGTGGATAATATTATGTATTTTGTTCTTGCATGTGGAGATGCTGCTGTGTAACGTGCTTCTTATAATGCGACTCTTAGCATATGACGGATGGGGAGGGAATGAAACCATTATATGCTTTAATTGTGTTGCATGTACCGATTATTAAGACCAATATAATAGATGTTTTATATAGATGCAAAACTTTCCATTCTGTTTCATTAACAGGTACATTGGTATGCAATATATATATATAAAAAAAACAAAAAAAAAATGTACATGTTAGTGGCAAAGAAAGTAAAGTGAAATTGAGGATTCCTTTGTGTACATTCATTTATCGTGATACGTAGTTGATATCTCTTGTTGCCTATAATAATAGTTACTGTATTGGGTAATTTGAATGTTAAGGTAGAATAGTCGTATAAAAATAAAAAGAGATTGTAGATAAGTATAGGATAAAGAATTGAAGATGACAAACAAATTAGTAGACCTCCCTTATACAAAAATTTCTGCATTGCAATTAATAGAATAATATGAAATAAGGAGAAGGAGGTGTATGATGATGTAGTTAGCGTGAGAAAAATAAAATAAAATAAAATTAAAAACCCGAGAATGAAATTTTGTATTGCCTTCCCCTGTACCTGATATACAACGTAGATTATTAAAGGACAAAACATAAATATAAGGAGCGTAATGATAAGTACAAGTACGTTTTATATATATATATATAAAGAACGAATCCAATAAACTATCGTAAATCCTAATTCCACCAAATAATAAAACTCTAATGAAGTATGGTACAAATTATAAAGAGTCGAATTAAAGAGTGGATTATAGCATAAAATTTAAAGAAATAAAATTCGAAAGGAGCATAAAATATTAAGTAATAAAAGGGATAGATGTTCTAAAATATGTGCAGATAATGAAATCTTAGAACAATGATAATTTCGTGTTAAATAAGATTAACTAGTTAAACTAGAATTATAAGAAAAAAGGTAATTAAAATTGAGAAGAGCGGATGAGAGGAAATGGACTAAGTATGATGTGATATTGTAAATACCGAATACTGGAATAGATGACAACTAAAACGGATTCATGCATCATACTCATTGGAGAAAAGATAGATCCAAGGTCACAGTTGGCACAACTGCGGGGTGCTTGTGTTAGGTTCAAAGACGAACCTTGGGGGTGGCAAAGGGGGGGATGACCCAATGGCGCAGAATAGCTCCCTGTGGCCGGGTCACGTCGCCAGCAAACCCTTACCAAACCTGACCTGAACACCCGCCACCAAGATCGTAGTAGGTCCATTCTTGAACAACGCCCTTGAGGCGTGTGACGGACAAATATTTTTGTATTATATACGTGCTGGAAGTGATAGTAGGGAATGGAGTCCTCCGATCACCTTGTGAGTAAAGATTTAAAAAAAAATGATATGGGATCCCCATGCATTGCATGAGATTGTTGAATAAAGAGAAAGATATCATAAACCAACTGCATCATGCATCATGCATCATTTCGTTGCATTGTATTTTGTTTTAATTCTTATCATGAATGCCATGTATATTTATATAGTTGCTATGGAAATTTGATTGTTTGTTCCTTATATGATTTGATTAAATCTTATGAACTCACCCTTTCTTTCTCTTTGTTTTCTTCTTTGTGGTGTATGTCTGTTTGTTTGGTGCATTGTGTAATCAATGTACAGATGGGTTCTGAAATGATAAAGGTGACGGTACTCCCAACCGATGATGACCTGTGGATCTACGATGATACCACCCAGCAGACGATTTACAAGGGTTCGCCAGGATGACCCTTGGGTCAGTTGCTGAGGTGGGCTGGGAGACCCGTTGTATCACAGATATGCCCGTTGAGATTGTTTTTCCTCTACCTTTGTACGCTACCAGTATACCATTCCCTCTCATTCCACCTGTGGCTGCCCCTGCTCCCATGGATGCTGATATCCCCGTTCCCTTACCTATTCCAAACAGTAACCCTGATTCTCACGTACCTTGACCCTCCTCCCGTTGAGCCTGAGTGTGTGGATATTCAGGTGATTGAGTCATCCGTCACACCTCACCCTCCTACTCCACCCCGCCAACTGGCACCCATTGATGAGGTTGGACCCTCACACCGTAGTCCCTCACCACCCCTGTCCTCTACTTACTCTCGCATACCTCCATCTACTCCTGGCTGGCTGGAAGATGTAGACGAGGACCTGCCCAGTTTGCCTTCTGACCCAGACGCTACCCTCTCTACTTCGCCTGACTCTGATCCCTCAGAGGAGTATACTCCTCTAGATTGACTTAGTGTTATGTATATCCACGTGTGTGTACCCCCTTACTTTTTGCATGATGGGAATTTTGGGAGAATTAATTTGGGGATTGTTAGTTACTTTTTGAATGCTTTGGACGATATGTAGTTTTGTTCTCCCGGGGGTGTGACATGTGTTAGGATCTCTTTTATCTTTTATTAGTCTTCAAATGAATTATGTTTGTGACCATGTATGGTAAATTAGTCAATTTTAAATTTCGCCTGACAAATAAGTTTAACCTTTAAAATTACACTTAGATTGATTAAACGATAAATGAAAAAAAAAATGTTACGGATGATGTACACTTAAATTACAAGTAATTAAATGAATATTTGGTTATACACGTTAACTCCTATAATTACAAAATTGTGTGTGATATTACGATAAAATATGAGGCCTTTGATATACGTTTACCGTATTTGAAGTTTGTGACGTTAGGGTGTCACAGGTTGAAGCTCGGTGTTCATCCCCAATCGCTCTCTCACACTCTCTACACACTAAGAAACTAAATGGAAACAAAATATGAATAAAGGATCCAAAGATCTGGGCTTTTCTGTAATTTATAAGTTTCCCGCCATCTACGCATTATCACTTTTCTTCATAAGAGTAGCCACGCAGAGGCTTATCTGGTGTTATGTAAGACTAGAATGATCACTTTCCTTCATAAAAGTGGCAACGCTGGAAGTCGAGTTATGCGCGTGGTCACTTTCATGAACAAAAGTAGCCACGCACAAGTTGCAATGCTAAAGGTCTCTCTAGAACAATCACTTTCATCAATGAAAGTGGTAACACGCAATTCTGCTATGATTGAAGTCCTTGAATGTTTGCTTTCACCAACGAAAGTGAAAAAGCGCATCTGTGTTCTTCTGAGAAACTCCTTGGAACGCTTACTCTTGTGGATAAGAGTGATTACTGATCAATTGGATTTTTATAACATTATTTCCTCTAATTCCTAGCTCATTAATCCTCTTTTGTGCCTAATTGGTTGAATTGGATCATTTTATGATGTTTGGATTTTATTTGGGCTTTATTTAATTTTTCCAGTATTTGGCAAATTCTGATACTGTTTTGGTTTCTGGACCATATCTTGAGTTGTAGAACTCCTTTAATTGTGATTCTTGATTTGTAGGAAAGCTAAGAGAAAGGTGCACAATTCCTATGAGAGGTCAGAAACCAATTCCGATGAAAAGAAGCTGAAACTGGGCCTGGAAAAAGTTAGAACGCTGCAGTCGTGGATCCTGAGCAAGGTGCAGTATTTGGGCCATATCTCAGTCCACAGATGTCTGATTAAGCCCATTCTAGTGGCATTTTGAAGCTAACATCCAAGGCTACAATTGTCCTTCAGGACACGAACCAAAAAGAGTCCGTTTTCATAGCCAAAAAAGGGGAACAAAAGGACGAACGGAAATTTTGAATTTGAAATTTTGAATTTGAAGTTGTTTTTGGCACCTCTCCTTTCTTCTTCCTCTCTTCTCTCTCTGTTTTCGTTTTTTTTTCCTCCCCTTTCATGAATTGTTTCCCTCCATCCATGGAGGCTTAGGTTCCCATCTGATTCAAGGATTAAAAGAGACGTGACACTCTTGAGGATTGATTGATCGCACATTGGCATAAATTCAATAACAATTTCGGGTTTCATCTATTCCTTATTCTCTCCCTTTTGCTAATTATATTTTTGAATTGAAGTTATACGTTTGGATTGATGATTATGCATGTGGTTGATTACGTATTATTCGATTGATGTATGTAATTCAGTTTTAAGGAACATGAATTGGATTTTCAGGTTTGAAAACTACGATTAACGGCATTGGTAAATTAAATTGGCACAATTCAATTAGGTTTTAGAGTTTTCTGAATTTTAATTAATTATGTGCTAATCGAATGCATGAAGGTCTTCATGTGAATGCTGAGTTTGAATTGAGGTTTCATTCGGATTCATTGTTAATTACCAAATTGTTTGTTGATGTGCTCTCTTAAAAATCCGATGATAAAGTAGTCGTTTTTCTTCTTAATTCTTGGATTGGAATTTCAATTTCTGTTCACTCTTTATTCTAATTATAATTAAGTGCGTTTTTGTTTCCTTTACAAACAAACCCCACCCGTCTTATACACTCTCCAAATAGATTAATTTGCCATTGTGATTCTTTGAGAAACGACCCTAGTTGCTTACCCTGTACTATAGTAATTAGGTTTATTTTGACCCGTGTACGACCCCGTGTCAATTACGCACATATTTCACTTCACTTTTAAGCTCTGCATCAATCACTTTCACCAGCGATAGTGATCACGCCCAACTTAAACTCTATTAACCTTGTTTCTTGAGTCCAGTTTTGCTACTTTTTTTCTAGCTTTCTATTGATCTTCCATCTTCATGAATTTTGCTCAGATTTTCCTACAGAAACATGATTGAATTATTAATTTCTACACAAAAAAATTCTAAATTCTAAAATAACTATGTATTTAAAGAAAATCTTTAGTCATTCTATTTTTATGAGTTTTTCTGCTTTTTCCAATATATTTTCTTTATCAAATTGATTAAAACTACAGTAAAATACTAGTAAAAATATAGATTCATCAACTGGCCCACATTCATTTACCGCACGCAACATACTTGTCCATTTACATCATTCAAGGACACGCAAAAACACCTATTAACGCATATTAGACTCAACCATTCTGCTCATCATATTTAACATCAATTCCTCCTAGAAATTCACTCATAATTAGCTTTTACATTGTCAAAGTCGCACCCACTACACATTATCCATCAAAATACACAATTCTATACATCCAATCTCAATCACATTACAAAAGAATAGTAAATAAACAGGTTTTCAAGTAAAATGAGATAGGGTAGAGTCCCCTCTTACCTCAAATAAAGACCCACACACAAAATCGGCAATGAGAAAGCTCCCCACACGAACTTTTGATCTAAATACATGGAGGAATCCCATGAGAACTCAAAGAAACCGAGAAATCAGAGAATGAGGATGAAAAATCAAAACCCTAACCATTAAAACTTACCTCCAAGCATTCCCCACATGAATCCAACCTTCAATCTAGTTCTCGAACAGCTTTGGAGGCAATTTAATCGGTGGAATAGGGTTTGGGAGTGAAAGAATTGAAGAAATCTCGAAGGGAAAGTGAGAAATGAAGCTTCCCTAAACCTTAAACCCTTTAAATCCTCTTCTGGTCACGCCTCTCTCGCTACAGCGAAAAACTCAGACAAAGCTGCACTCTGGTTTCTGCATAATCTCGCTACAGCGAGACCCTCTCGCTACAATGAGACTGCACCAAAAAATGCAGCCTAAACTATGGCTTTGTCGCTACAACGAGAAACCTCTCGCTACAGCGACAAGATGCCAGTTTCATTCTTCTCTCCCAGTGCCTTCTTGCTACAACAAGAATCCTCTCGATACAGCGAGAAAGGCATAGTTTCATGCCTCACGCCCAGGGCCCTCTCGCTACACAAGAATGCCCTATAGCAGGATCCACACTTAGCCTGCACACACAAACACACACACACACACACACACACACACACATATATATATATATATATATATATATATATATATTCAATCTATTCCAGTCCAGTCATAATTCACATTACACTCCAACTATACTATATGGACTTTCCAACAATCATTTTCATACATGTCCACATCATTACACACATATATCCATCATCTTTATGTTAATCAACACATAAAATATATGTATATAGATACTTAATAATTAAACAATATTACAAAAATCCGGGCGTTACACCTAGAGGCTTCTCTGAAACAATCACTTTTGTGAACAAAAGTGATTACGCACACCTTGCTATACTTGGGAGCTCTCTGGAACGATCACTATCATCAGCGATAGTAATAAAGCACAGGTCATCCTTCAATGTTAGGCTCTGGAACAATCACTTTTGTTAGGAAAAGTGGTCATGCCCAACTCTTGCTTCATCAGACCTTGTTCTTTGATTCCAATTTTGCTACTTTTCTTCTATCTTTCCCTTGATCTTCCAACCTTATGAACTTAGCTCGGAGTTTCCTACAAAAATATAATTGAATCATTACTTTTTACACAGAAATTCATAAAATCTAAACAACTATGTATTTAGGAAAGACTTTGAACATTTATATATTTTTGTGTAGTTTTCACTTTCTAAATTACATTTTCTATAAAAAATAACCTAGAAAACTATATAAAAACCTAATAAAATTTGCATTTATCACCACCCCAACTTACATTTTTGCTTGTCCTCAAGCAAACCAGAACATACCAAGGGGAATTCAATGCACCATTAAAACAACAATGAAAATATTTTTACATAGACTTTATTTTCAGTTTGTACAGAATTCTTCATTCCACATCATTCTTGTCAATTATCCTTTCAACAAATCTTTCATGCATTTAGTCACAATGAAAGTCACACTCAAACAAATCTTTTTATGCAGAATCTTACAAATTTGAGCTAATGAACAACAAAGCTACATGTGAAATATCAATGAAAGATATCATTACCACTCACAAGAAAGTGTTTCCCTGTCACTCATAAGTGTTTAAGGTGAGTGTTTACCCTCAAGATCATCAATTTTTACCTCACCCTACCATATGTTTGCCCATATTCTCAATCTCATCTACTTAATACAGTTAATCACACATCAAGAGGACTTTTTTTAGGTTATAATAGGGCTAAGGTTAAGATAAGTATTGAACAAAAATGTGAAACAATACATGCAAATCGAAAAGAAAAGAGACATTTTGAGTGAATGAACATAAAACTATCATAGAACTGCATTACTTTTCAATAATACCCTCAATTATGCAGCAAACAGATTCAATATGTAGCAAAATTCCAATTTTTCTTTTCTTGCTTTCATTCACTATTTTTTTTTTCATTCCTGTGAATACCTAATTTTATCCGGGTCCCATCTAAAAAATAAATGAATAAATAAATACATAAATAATAAAAATAAAATACAAATTAGATAAGA